GGGGGGGGGGTCGATAACAACAGAACAATACTGCTATTTGCGCTACAAATGAGACGCGGGCAGGACGTTGTTGTGTTAATCGAAATGTCGCTCGACGTCTCTTCAAACGATCGCACGAGGGGGAAAAAAGAAAGCGAAGGAAGAGAGGAGAAGCCTCTCCGCGAAGCACAGTCTTTCTCTCTACGACGGCGATCTATCTCTTCTCTAGGGAGAGGACACTTTCTGTAAGGGGGGAAGATACGGCCCCGTAGGCACCAGACGGGGATCGAAGAGGGTACGACGATCACCTGCTGGATCGGCCGTGACCTTGTTCACCCTCTCGATCAGGGGCGCGCTGCGGTCGTTGCACTTGACGTGCTTGAGCGTCTTGCCGCTCTCCACCTCCTTCATCATGCAGGCCCAGTCCGGCCGTTTCCTCGGCCTGGACTTCAATGCCTCCAGCTTCTGCATCTGTGTGTCGTTCAGGGTCGGCAGGTCCTTGAGAATCGTACGACTGGGCGGCGGTGGCGGCGGTCGCGGGGGCGGCGGTGGCGGAAAGTTCGCTCGCGACGAGCTCTTCGACAAAGTTGGTGCACCTTGGCATAGAAGGGCCTCCGTTATTTAGGGAAAGCGTGACATTACGACGCATAAAAGTCATTATTTGCGCGTATAAAATGGGGTGTCCAGGAATGTATTCTATTTTAATAAGTATACAATTAAGTGATTTTCGACTAGTATAAAACTGTGTGTTACATAATTCTGCTTATTCCACAAGTATACTGCAAATTTCATTCAAATCAAAAAGGGATAATCCTTTCGATATTCGTGACGCTTTATGAATTTATGTTGTTACGTTTCGTTTCTTATTCATGCCACTGTCGTTTGAATTATTTGTCCGTAATAAAAATTATTGAATAAATTTTGTCCCGCTTCATTTCATCTACTCATAAGATTGTTTTTCCGATATCCGAACTTTTACAATATCTAATTCTATTATCTGATCGATCGCGTATAACATATTCCGCCGTGTACAGAAAATAATTGTTGTCTCACAGCAAACATTCGGAAAGAAAAAAGAGAGTTTAACCGTTCACCAATGGTTTAATTCGACATTCGAAAGGATTTAAATGTTGGATATCGTGAACGGTGGAATCTACGGGAAGGAATGTCGACGATCGCGCCGATCGTTTTACCTGTGGTGCTCTCACTCTTCGAGAGTGGTATAATGTCACCCCGTGATCGAGATCTCTCGACGCGGATCTGTCGTTCGAGCTGCGGCCTCGAATTTGGCTCCTGTCGTCCATTCTCGCGCGGCTTCGCTGGCACCGGTCGGCCGCTCGGGATCTTTTCATTGATCTTTTCATTCGGCTGCTTCGGTATTATCGTGATTTTGCTCTGTTTACGCGGTCCATCTGTCGAAGGTGTGGCCGGCTCCGCGGGCTTCGGCACGCTCTGTTAGGGCCGAGAGGAAGGAACACTTGCTTGATCATATCGTGCTTATAATAACACGAATGAGAATATATTTTTATATATGATTTATTTAGCCAATTACTAAACTAATCATGAAGCTTAAAGATATTTATTACACATATTTTTTATTATTTCATTACATATTCTATTTCAATGTCTTTTATTAAATTAGTAAAACTGTGTTAAATGTTTGTAGCTTTTTTAGTTTTCACTCCATTAACAAGAATTCCGTCACAACTCAACGAATCGGATTTACGTTTTTGCGGTTACTGGCACCGAGACGTCTTTCCTCGATTCACAGTTTATGTTTTTACCACATTCTCGCGACGCAAATCAATTTCTCTCGCGCTTTTTATTTCGATTTGTTTTTCTTTCTATAGGATCACGTCACGTCGAGAAGAATACGAAAGAATAATCGTCGCACGTCTGGCGTAAAGTAGCCGTGATTGAAAATAGAAAAAGAAAGAATCGAATCGCCCCCTCCAGTTCTTTCGATTGTTCAAGACGGCGAAGAGCGAATGAGAGAAGGAAAGATCCAAAGAATTCTCTTGGCAAGTCTCGAAGAGTTCGTTCCGCCGGCTTTAAATAATCCACATTGAATTTCGCACTCGAGACGTCACGTTATCCAGCCTCGATCGTCATCGACGCGGAGTTTCCGACGTTTTGAAATAAAGCGGCCCTCGTGTGAAAATTGCCGTTCAACTTTCAGGTCGCTCTCGTTAAGAATTTTTACCGCCTCGCTCTTGTTTCCGTAAAAATTGCTCAGCCAAAAAACATTACTCATCCGCTTTATGTAAAGCGTATGACGTTGCGTGCGCGATTTTCGAGCGTGTTACAAGAAACGAAATCGCGGTATAAGCACGCATAAGAAGCCTGTGGCGGAAGACACAGCTGGCAGGCCATTTGAAATAGAAACGCGTGTTCTTTAAATAATCGTGACCCAGAGGCTTTATACGCGGGCACGCGTACGACGGATCTCACTTTCCTCCGCGTCGGGAAAACGAAATCGCAATTGACAAACTGCACGTGCGGCATGTCTGAAGACTCTAACGAACGGCCGTGAACTACTTGCGGCGCACTGCAATTTTTCCAGTAACGTTCTTTTTTTTTTTATTCTGTCTGTTGTTAACTACAACGATCCGATATCAACTGCGATTAACAAATGCGCGTTATCTTAAATTTATAACTGCCACTATTAAATGATTGCCACTTCTAAATGATTCGTTATCGATATCATCAAGTACAAATGATAATGAAACAAGATGTTATCTAAAGTTAAACAGAGGATTACTAAATCAAGAATTGAAAATGATTTGAAAATAATTGCAAATAATTTTATATTTTTACTAAGATCACTCTTCTGCACAGAAAGAATACTTTTGCTGAATCCAGATCTGAAAATAATTTTTGTTCGATAATCAAAATAATTTTGCGCAAAAATCAAAATGATTGCTAGAATATCAAAACGTTTTATAGCAATGCTTATCAGTTTTAACATTCCAACAAATTATTTTAATGATTTAATAAAAAATTATTTTCAGATCTGTTTTTAGCACAATTTTTAGACTTTTCAATAAAATCGTTCTTTTCATGTGATTATGAGGTCTAATAAAAAATTATGCAATCAGCGTAACGAAGCACATCTCGATTAATAACAAATCTGCCGTCTGAATTTAATCTGTTCTGTTGATGATCTAAGCGTACGCGAATATAGCGATATATAGCGACATAATGTCGGGCCACGTAAAATCTTCACGCGCCATCGCGATTTCGCGCGTCGCATATTTCGCGCAGATTATACGCATTGGATATCAACCTCCCCGATGATTTTACGTGGACCGTCGCCAGGAGATTGAAAGCGATCTCGCTTGAGAAGATTTTTCTGCGTACGTGTATTTCGGTAATTTACGAGTTGAATTTACGAATATTTTCCTTGCGCAACGCGAGAAAACAAAAAGACGCTTATTTTGTTTAGACTGTCGTAAACTTTTCTGCGAATGGGAAGTCGGTGAAGTATCGAGTTTGTAAATCGTTGGGTGGACTATCAAGATACACTGTTTGCATACAACATGATCGTGTGGAACTTCACGCGGCTCGAAATGTTTATCGCGCTTACTCGTTGCAAGACACCCACGCCGGCTATTAATATCGCGATTGCAGTACGGCGAAGTCCGCTGACTTTGAAACCCAATATCTGAATGGAAAAAGACTACGAGAGTTGCATAGACAATTCTTATCTCTGGTACAAACAGAACGCGTTACTCGATTTCGGAGCAAATTAAAGCCGCGAATTTGAATAAATCTATTGTCTTCTTCGAAACGAGAACAACGCAGTACAATAGCTTCGATTAATTTTCGTTTCGCAATTTATACACAAATGCATAGAATCATCCGACAATCATCGTCGATTGTTTCTTTTTAAAGTATAACTATTAATTATAAAATACTTTACGGACAATTCTTTATTTTCCATCTTTTAGATTTTTTACTAATCTACGAAAACCATTCTCGAAGAAGTTTCAATTTCAGAAATCTATCGCAAAAACATAACAATATTTCCGCAGAGTTTAAATGACTCGATATTTTTTAGCGAGGCTGTTCCTTCATCTTCGAAAAAAAAAATAGCCTCTCTTGGAGCAGCCTATCTCGCAATTTGAAAAACGCAAAAAATACTATACATATAATGTCACGTCATCGACTCTTTCGAAATTGTCCACCCACCTTCAAGGTGACTTGGGTGAAGGCCGGAACGTCCTCGGTCTTCGGCTTGGAGTCCCTGCGGGCGTTGAGGGTCCAGGGCGCGGTGGGCATGGGCAGCGGGTTCGGGCCATCCTTGACCCACGGCGGTCGGAAGGTGGTCCTCTGCGGTGGCTGACCACCGGCGCCGGGCATCCTCGCTCAGCGTCCTCTCTCACAGCAGCGGGGGATGATTCGCTCCTGCTTCACCCTCAGTAAACGCTGTCGCGTCGATCTCTGTCCGGTCGACAGACGGCGCGGAGGATGTGATCACGCTCGCTCGTGTTAACCGACGTGCTCTCGTCGTCCACGGGACAAACGACGACGGTCCACCGCTGTTCTCCGACGGGGCGATCCTCCCGAGGACGTGCGCGATGCGCCACTGACGGACTTCTGGAACCGATAGGATCGCGATAAGTGGGGACCACGCGTGGGCGAGGTCTCTGGCGCGACCCACTTCTCGCGGAGAGAGGTGTCGTCTCTCGGGATCAGGAGCTCCCGGTCGCGGCTGCACCCTCCTCGGCGGGGAAGATCCTCGAAGATGCACGACGTGCGATACCGCGATCGACTGCCACGTTTCTCTCACGTTCTCTCTTCCTATCTCGTTCTCTCGTTCGGCTAGGAAAAGAGGCTAACTGGCGGATCGCGACGGGGATCGAGAATTTTTTGCGCGAGTCCGGGAAAGATCGAGACCTGGACCGCGCAACAGGCGGACTCTGTGCACCTCCCTAACCGTACGATATTTCCGTCCGTGTGACGTCATCGAGAGACGTGAGCCCGAAATAGAAGAACGATCCTCTCCTCCTCGAGGACGCCCTCGGCGACACACAAGTCGAGGCCTCCGCCGCCTCCGCTTCGCGTCGTCGTCGCGACGTCCTGCGACGTCTGTTTACGATGCAATCGTCGATCATGACCGGCCAAGAAGGTCGATCGATCTTCAGGGTCAGTTAAGTCATAGTTTCTCGATTGTGGAAGCAGCTTAGAACGGATAAAATTCTCTGTAATAGAAAAAATCCCTTAACATATGAATATTTTCCAATATTTGATCAATGCGAAGAATCGAAAAGTTCAAAAGAATAGGTAATATGCGAAATAATAATGCGAAAAATAATAAATAATTTCCGCGTGTATATATATATATAATCAGTTTTTTTTAAATATCATACTGGTCGCATTGAAATTCTTTCATCAATTTTCATTAAACATCAATATTATTTTATGTTTATTCTTTTTAATTTATTAGACAGATGAAACGAAACTTTGTCAGCATCAAGTGACGCCGAAGATGTGTTTAGATAGGAGAAAAGTTGTTGCAGATAAACATGTCATCTTATTTTCCTTCCTATTACTTTCTCAAAATATTAATCCAAGATTATAAAAATATCTAAACAATATTAATTTGAACTAGATCGTGTATGTGAAAACACAAATAAAAACGCTTTCTACGATTACGGCTGGATTTTGGTGCTTAATAAATTCTATATAAACTTTTAAATCCATTATTCAGTCATTTAAACTGCGCGCCGAATCAATTGTCGGATTTGCAACGCAATTGTTAGCTGAAGCTAGAATAGCGCAGTTTAATGGCTGAACTATAATGGATTTAAAAATTCATATAGAATTTGTTAGGCACCAAGATCCAGCCGTAGAAAGCGCTTCCAAATTTATTTGTGTCTTCACATACGCGATGTAGTTCAAATTAATATTGTTTAATATATGTATATGCCGCTAGCATACGTTCTCACTCAATATATCGGTTATTGCGATAAATGTTATCGCATGCTTCGAAATGATTAAGACTGTTCCAGAAAGTCGAAAGGTCCCAAGTACAAACCCTGACTGAGATAAAATTTATTGCAATAAAATCTTTATAGCATTTTAAGATGCTTATAAGCATCGATTTATTAAGAATTGAGGATCAATTATGATCTCGCTATTCCAGCTTCAGCTAACCATTGCCGACAATTGATTCGGTGCATAGTTTAAATGGCTGTGTGTGAATAATGGATTTAAAAATTCATATAGAATTTATTTATCTAAGATAATAAAAAAGTATCTGTCGAAACAGATATTGTCTTTATCTTAAGTTTCGTACTTAAGATAAAGGCAATATTATGTATATTACCAAACAGTTTCTGTTTATTAACTTAAGTATGTTAAAATAGAAAGCAATTAATATTTGTCTTGACATGTACTTTTTTATTATCTTATAGAATTGATTCACGTGAATTAAAATATTTGATTTTAAAAGTGTTTATTATATATAATATTATTATATTCTACACACACACACACACACACACACACACACACACACATATGTATGTATGTACATATTACAAATAATTTTAGTACAGTCAAACCTCGATAACTCGAACCTCTACAACTCGAAAACCTCTATAAGACGAAAATTTTGTTCATTCCCTTCCGCTCCACTGCGGAAAACCTATAAATCGAAATAAAACCTATCTTAATTCGAATTATTTGTCAGATATTTAAATGTATTATTTTACCTCTGCAAATCGAATTTAAAGTAGCCAGACCTCTATACAAATCGAAGTCCATCTTTATAAGTCAAACTTCTATGTCGCTGCCTCTATAATCCGAAGTTGTAGCTATGTCTAACTATAAGTATAATAGTCTGGTATTTTGTTTTATGATTACATTTAATTATTATATGTATGCAATAAATAATTTTATCAAACATTGATATTTTTCTTCTAAAAGCTATTATAATCGGAAAATTAAACTCTTGTACAAAGCCCCCGTAGTCGAATTTTCATATTTTAACCCCCTTTTACTCGAATTTCGATAAGTTGAAAACTATAACTCGAAGGGTTTTTCTCTTCCTTTGAGATTCGAATTATTGAGGTTCGACTGTTGTACGTGAATACGTATTATAATAAAATAAAACATACATAAATATGGCAGATATGCAAAATTAAGACAATAATAAAGTAAAAATATTGTATTCAGAAATAAATATATCCAATTGTGAGAGAAATTCATTCTCTTTCGGATCTCAAGTTCGATGAGTCTACAGACAAATTATTAATTCTAAATTCTCTTGTAAAAAAATACTATTGAATTAATGAATAAACTATTGAAACATATAGTATTGGATTTGAATGCTTTTCTAATAATTTTCAAGCTTTTTCATAAATATCAACAGTACTTTTCCATAAGAATTGTATTAGAGATAAGATATTCGAATAACGACGAATTAAATTTGCATGATTATTTGCATAGACTATAGCAAACTCATATAATAATAATTAAATATTACTAATTATTATGCTAAACAAATACAAATCTGAATTGTAAGTGATTTATTTATATGTATAGGAATTCCAGACTTCTAGTTCTTCCTTTTATTTAAATATGGAAATCAAATTAAAATATTGCGATTTCATCTTTTAAAAAACATTTATACGTTTAAAAAATATATTATAAATTGATTTGGCTGAACAATTACGGTTTGAAATTACCGTGAAGTGATAAGAGCACTTTTACCGACTAAAAGTAAGCTCGCTTAGTTCCGAATGCTAGAGTGAGATCGCGCTACAAGTTCCATGTCGAGTGAAAGTGAACAGTATGGAGGGCGACGCGCACGGCTAACAACGAGGATCGGTAATATTTTTCAAATAATAATTCAATTCTCGAAAGAAAATTATTTTCTTGTAGATTACCGCAAAGTTCACATATCAACGCATATCATAGTATATATATAACATATACCATTTAAATTCTCCATGGGTGTATGTACATATACATATGTATACATACCATACAGTAGTTCGGCTTTTCTAAATATAACCTTGTACAACGCGCGTATTGACTTTAAATTAATGCTACCTCTAATTATTATATCGTGACCATTCGAACCAACCATTAACAATATAATTTAGCGACATTTAATAATATAATTCAGCGCATAATAATTATAAATCTCATAGTTTTATAAAATGAGAATTTTCCGCGAAATCTTCTACATGTAGCGAGGTAGTCGAACGTCGCGTCGCAATAGTGAAAAAAAAAAATAAGGATGGCTGGTTCACAAAACTCGTGCAAAGTCGTCAAAGTGAATTAGAACTCTATTATTGTCGTCATTATCGCCGGCCCGAAAGTCCCAATTAGGCTCTCCGGGCTCTTTCCTCGGGAAGGAGGAAGAAAAAGGGGGCGATGAATTTCCGAGGAATTCGCGGCGGGTACGGCTAAGGTGGTCGCCATTAATCCTCGCGCGTACGCGGTGACAACCACCGAATTAGTCGGGCGATCCGTCAAAAAGCGCATTTCCGTGGGCGGGCGTGCGTTATATCCGCCGTCTCGGCGAACACATGGCGTTCCGGGCATTTCGCACGCACGCACGCTTGCACACACTCGCGGGCGTATCTCTACCGCGAGATGAGAAAAATGCGTGATGTATGTCCGAACTTCGTATTTACTGTTAGAGATCAAAAGATACTAAATATTTGATACAAAAAACGCTGTTCAAAATTACATCATATTAACAAAAAAAGTAAATCTCACTATTTTAAAATTAATATTTTGATTGCTTCGGAAAATTTTAAATATAAAAAATTAATTATTAATTCACTTCTATTATTGACTTCAATTATTGATTTCCTTCGCTAGATCGTCGTACTTTTATTTATAAAGTAAGTAAGCGAAGGAAACAAATTCTCAGAGATGACACAGATATAGCTGATGTTTTTTCTTTATCCTTTTTTCCTTCTGTTTCTTCATCTTCTCCTTCTTTTAATTTACATTTCCATCAACTAGGGACGCAATGACACGATATATTTTATCCTCGGACTGTTTTCGGCTCTCGTTTTTAGCAGCGTAATATCTTTTCGCTCAAAATTCCATAGAGCTGACGCGTTTAACTAACATATTTTTCGAAGAAACGACAGCAGTTATTTTCAATTGCATAAAAGCTGGAAAAAAAAAGCGAAATCGTTTGTTTGTATCAGGCCTGTCCAAGAGACGTTTTTGCTCGCGAGCAAAACGCCTTTCCCTCCACGTCACCCCGAGTGAAACGGAGAATAAACAAAAGCGGAGACGCCGAGGCATCACCCATACATGCAGGATCGCACGTGTTCGTTGTATCATCTGCTGCGGGCGGTTGTATCAGAAGTGTCGGCGATTCCGGAACGAGGTAGGAGCCAGGAGGCCTCCTCCGCTCGATGAGGCTGGAGAGACGCCTAGTTTGTATGTTGCATATCTTAGATTTTTACGCTACATACTTGCACATGCAGTGCAGCTTTGTTTTATTTTTATTATTTTTTTTATCCCGCTTTTTTATCATTAAAATAATATATCGCGACGATATACTTTTTCTTGATTATTGCAACGCTTTCCGTAAGCTTTCTCTCCCTTTCTCATTTCGTCGCCCCGCGTTCTCTAATCCAGCGGCATATAATACAAGAGCCCAGCTTGCGCGCCGCGCCGCGAGACACATGCTCCGTTAAATACACTGCGAGAGAGTTGCGTGCCCGCTACATCAGCCCCGACTGATTCTTTCCGAGACAACGTGCACGAATGTTCGCGCAAGAACGTCCGCGAGGAACGTCCCGCGCGCGGCCCTCGTCTCGTCTTGTCTCCCTATTCGCGCACTCGGGGTCGTTAAATTTTTTACTCGATTCGGACTCTCGC